GAGACGTTGCAGGCCGGCCGTCTGGTGTGCAGCCAGCGTGCTAGACTATTTTGTCTGTTTTCTGGCCTCCTCTTTTTTCCTCTTCTTGGTCTAGCGAAGCAGCAACCCTACATATTGCGGGAGAGGACGAGACTCTTCATCAGTCTCGACCATGGTGCATGTGAAACATTTAGTTGTTCGCTATTATTAATAATAGGCCGATCATATGCTCCCCCCTCCCCTCCCCGAAGGTATTTTTTGTGTACGGCCCTGGCCCAACCTGTCGGGTCGACATAGTTACGCAATCATGTGTATATATAGTTTATCTTGCTTTGGCCACTGTAGTAATTAGTGGCGCGGAGATCAAAAGGAATACTCCCCGCAGATGCATTGTACATTATCCAAAACACACCAACAGGCAATCGTTACAGCGCTGGTGTTCTAGGTTGAATTCTATCGTTTTCAGGATGGTAATGCTCTGTGAAAACATAATTCATTTACTTTACAGTTGAGGGTACATGACGAAGCCCAGCAGCTGTAGAATCGGTCGGCTGGGCGCGGGCCACAGTTTCTAGGTGTGATGGCTGATAAATCAAACACTTCAACACCACGCTCCCTGCTACCCATAGCCATCAACAACGAGATGGTCACGTGCTGTAGTCACGTTCGCCCGATAAGTGAGGAGGGTAAGGAGGAAGACGAGCATGGCTTGTGGAGGCTACACGGCTGATGTCATGCCCCGTCCCCCTCCTCCCCTTCTAATCTCCTTGGCAAACATGCTAAATACGGCCACAGAAAAAAAAAGTAGCTTTGCAGTTCGTGGTGTTGCGAGCGAAGGGTGCGGCCGCCTGCTCGGCCGCTTTATCGTGAGGACAAAACTGACCAAGGAAGCGAGCGAGCAGGAAAATATGAGGGATTTCCGTGGCGTTTCACTTTCGGTGAACAGCACAACAGGGGAGCAACAGTAATTGCCAATATTTATAGAGATTTTTTTCGGTGGCTTTGGCGCTTGACTGATATCTTATTAGCTTCGACAGCTTGGTCCCCCAGTTGTATTCAACTACAAACATAATAGTCATTTACTTACAAAAGAAGCAACGAGGATCACGTTATTCAATACAGAACAAAATATTCTATTTAGAAAACGACGTTAAGAAAGTTATTGCGAAGAATTGCTTTAGAGTACTGTTTTACACGAGTCTAGTGTCCCGAAAGATCCGCTAGTGGCGTTGCGTTAGCTTTCGTAACGCTGTAGTCCGTAAAGGGTTGCGAACGTGGTGGTTTCGCTACGCCACATAGAACGGAGGTCGTAGCGGCTAGCGGATAGCGCGACGGGAGTGACTGAATGATATACTAAAACACTCGAATGGCTCAAGCGGATCGGCCGGAAAAGTTTCGACTGCCTCCGGCGGGGGACTTTGCCAGGTAAGTCATTGTAAAACTCTGAATCGTATTACCTGTCTCTTTCGGTCTCGCCGATGAAAATCGACTAATAAGAGCTTGAGACGAGATAAACCCGGAACAAAATTACCGGCACGAAGAACTTTGGCACGTCTTTTCCCGCGTATCTGCTAATGAAAGCTGACTCGCTCGCTTGTTCTGAGTCGGCAGAATTAGGAACACTTCATGAGAGACTGAAGTGCCACTAGAATAAAGAGGGTTGTAGTGTTACCAGGAGCATATTGCGTCAGTGAAAGAAGAGTCACCAACGATCGAGAAACTCAGAATTTTGTTGTTCAACATATTTCCGCGAGCGATGCTTCACAGGTGGCAACTAAAAATATGCGATGCTGCATTTATTGTCAGGTTCACTTCGCGAACGATAAGTTTCAGCCAGTGATCTTGGCAAAGACTGGGCTCAGGAAACTCAAGCCATTTCATATTTCTTCATTTTTTCCTTTCATTTTTCACACCGACCTCTTCCGACCGTGCAATATTTTGCCTTGTAATAATATATATTTTCTGGTCTTCAACTTTTGTGATTTGTCATCTGTGATTAATAAAACATTATTCATTGACAAAGAAAACAATTTTCTATTGTCTTTTTAAGGCCTTGCTGAAAGATCTATCCTTCCTCATATGTGGCTCATGCAGTAACGCACGCCCGCGGGTGTGCGGCAAAGCGTATGTGCCTTGCAAGTGAACTCAAGGGCTTACCTTGCGCGTGAGGACGTCAAAACAATATCTCGAAACAGAGTAAAGCGCGAGACACATGCGCGAGAAATCCATCCGATCCGACGTCCTATCCGGCAATACGACTGGCTGATCCGAAAAATTTGGTCGCTTCAGACGTCGGATCGGCGATCGGCTTGCGTCCAACGTGCCAGATAGTTTCGCACGGCGGACGGACTGTCGGAAGCGTCCAGCCAATGACAGCACAGCTAGCGCGAACGTCATGATGAGGTACGGGTCTGGCGGGGCAAACGAGAAAACGGGACGGGCGACGGAAAGCCGGACGCGTGGATCCCGCTGACCCATTCGAAAAGATGGTCCCGGCAAAGAATGCACGCGCTAGCGAGAACAAGCTCCTAACTTCGCTTGTGCGAGCTAAACCGTCAATCTGGGACCAGAGATCTATGACGCCGACCTCCGCTGGAGTGCTTGGAAGTTCGATCTCCTGGGCGGAGCCGAACGGATCGTCGTGTCGCATGCAAGGTCGGAAGCGTGTGTCTCAAACTGTCGGATTGGACGATTCTGCCGTCCATGGGTCTCGCGCTTAAAGGAACGGTGCAAGAAATTTTGTACTTTGCGCAAATACCACATGGAACGGATCCCTGACGTTAATGACCTATGAAACACGCGTTCGTTTTTCACCCCACGCAATAGAAGTCCCAGAAAAAATTAGAGGAAAACGAGCAGCATTCACCTTTTCAACTCGCAGCCAGAACAAGCGGCCACAAGATCTGGAGCCGATTATATGCCGCCAATGTTGATCACAGCCACGCGCTGGGTTTGGCAAAGCACAGGACACGCGCTGAGTTCCAGATATTGTTGTGGCTCGGCTATTGCCGTCGTTGCAGCGATTGGACATGGGCCCCCTACCCGAATGTTTCTCGAGCTAGTAATTATCCCGAGCCCCAATCGAGTGCCCACGCAATGCTCGGGTCCAATCTATGAACCGCTTTCGAATATCGTCATTGGGGGTGTACTGCGATCCCCACCTGCGTTAACTGACGTGCAAGGTGATATGGGCAAAAACCTCGAGACACGTTTTCCCGGTTTGGTTATCCTGCTGTCCTTTTAACAGACCAGGCTACTTACTACACCAGCACTGTATGCGGAAATTGTTGTGAGATTCTCGGTATCAAATACAAGTGTACTTCCCCTTATCACCACCAGGTCAATATCAGAGTAAGATTAAATTGCAAACTCCGGGCAATGCAAATTTTGTAAACTAACCAACACCATGACTGAGACTCTTATATCCCAGACACGGCCTTCGCTGTCCATACCACAAAAACCCGAACCACGGGATTCACAGCGGCACGATTGAATTTTGGTCGGGAACTAGGAGTACCCATGGGAAACAAAATAGAACTTGCCCCAGATGCTCACCCACACCAATCACACTCAATGTTTGCGCAAAGACTCTGGGATAATATCCGAAATACAGTGACAATTGCCCGGGGGAACATCGAACTAGCCCAATCACAACAATGAAGACCATATATTGAAGGCCGGAGAAACGTCGAATTTCCCATCGGAGATTTGGTTCTCCAACGCACTCACCCACTCAGTAACGCAAGCCAAGGATTTAGCTTCCCTCGCCAAACGATGGGACGGGCCATTCGTTGACGATACGGGAATTACACGCCTAGCATATCAGATACTGTGCCCCTTAACCGGCGCAGTCGTGGAACCTGTTAACATCAATAACTTGAAACCTCTTTACTGAACATGGCGAAGAGTTCTGAAAGTTATAACCACGGCGAAGAGTGTTAAGAGTTAAGTAATAACGTCTCCATCTTGTCCAATCTTGCCTCTTCTTGACCTTGACGACCTGCAGCCATGCCACCAGGCCAGTCGTGGTCGTGGCCACGCCACCCACCTCCGCGATGGTCCTCTTACCACCGGTCGCGCTCACCCGGCAGCCGCAGTCGCAGCCATCGGCCGCCTCCTCAGCACCCACAGCCACGTCCCTGAGCCCACGAGGCTGCGACGTGGTGCATCATGGAGCATCACAGCCTCGTGGGGTTCGCTTCCCGCCCACGCTGGGACCGACAGCCACAAGCCCCACAAGGACTGCCGCCGGCCGACATCCCAGCACCATTCCAAGGACGCACCCTGAATGAGCGGAAGTCAACGATCCCGAACGGGGTATTAGACAGGGGGGTGCTCAGACCATAGTATTCCGAGGGCGCCGGGAGCGCAGATACCAGCGAGCAGGCACGGTCGCTATAGAGCCGCAGAGAGAGAAGCGGCCGGCACAGCCCTTCTCGAGCAGCCAAGCACATCTCTGCCAACGCCGTAGCCACGAGTGTATCACGCCTCCGAGTGGACGCTAACACCAGGACCACAGTGAACGTCTCCCGTTCCAACGGAGGCGTCGAGAATCAGAACTTTTCAGTCAAAGCTCAGAGCGCCAAAAGCCAGAGTCGGCTTCCACCGTTCTTCCCGCCAGTCGTCGCGACGCCCCAAGCTCTCCAATTCACGCCCCTTCAAAGGTCCTTTGGACCGTACTTCAGATACCATTCGGAGTTCCACCACCATCGTACGGTCCTCCGTTCGTCCCGCTATAACCCAGAACGTCCAAACGAAGTAAAGCCGCCCGATCCGCCGAAGAGCGACGTCCGGCCGAAAGACGACACAATAGCACCGAACGTCGCGAATCAGACGACCACGAAACGGGGCCGAGTCATTACAGCCGCAAAGGTCGAAGCTATAGCCCACCCGACTCGGCTCGAGATAACATGAGAGTCTTCAAAAGAAACTTCTCGCTTCTCAAGCACTCGGTCGTGCCGTTCGTGAACGGCGGCTGGTTATCGTCGAACTCCCGTTGTCGTCACAACTCATGCAGCAACATGGTCGACCAGGCAACGCTAGACAAGCTGAATGCAGGCTTCAAAAAGCTCCAGGATGCTAAGGACTGCAAGTCACTGCTCAAGCAGTACCTCACCAAAGATGTCTTCGAAAGGCTCAAGACTCGCAATACCACCATGGGAGCCACCTTGCTCGATATTATAGAGTCCGGCGTGGAGAACCTCGACAGCGGTGTCGGCCTGTCCACGCCGGATGCCGAATCGTACACGCTCTTCGCCGACCTGTTCAACCCGATGATCGACAACTACCACGGCGGCTTCAAAGCGGGCGACAAGCTCCCGACCACGAATTTCGGAGACCGCAACATCCTTGTCAACGTGGACCCCGACGTCCAGTTCGTCATCTCCACCCGCGTGCGCTGCGGACCCTCGTTGCAGGGTTACCCTTTCAACCCGTGCCTGCGGGAGGCCCAGTACCGCGAGATGGAGGAGAAAGTGAGATCGACTCTGCGCACGCTGCGCACGCGGGTGTCCAGAAGGTAGTCCAAATGAACCTCGCGTGCCTAACCTGGAGAAGGGAGTTTTATGCAGAGCCCAATTTTTTCTTCAAACAATGACCTCAGCTTCCTTGAAATGATAACATCATGTGCCAAACGGAAGCACTATCAACCCCTTAATGTTCGCGTGCCCTTAATTTTTGCAGCCTTTAATTTCGAAAAATTTAATGGCGGCCATTATGTCCCTTGTGACCGATTCAAGAAGAAATAGGGCCACAATGATAAGGGGTTTTACTGTACATCGGGGAAAAGAGGAGGCCACTTTTGTTCCTACGCAAGAGCAGAACCAACCACAACAATCACGGTATCGTAACTTTGTGAGCATATCTGTGTCTATTGAATAATATGAATTTTATTTTAGTTCGTTAAACGTTGTTGCTTGTACGTTCTGTGATGCCGTCTTCTTCACGAACAGTGGTCTTCCTCTGAAGCAGGCAGCATTGACGCGTGCCGCAGCCCAACAGAGTTCAATTGCAGCTTGTACCCTGTTTTGAAGGGGGATTGGCACAGTCTGGGGGAATCACATATCAGTGATCTACCTCAAGCGTAAACAAGATTTGCTAATTAAAGAAAATAATTGACTAGAAATCAGGGATTTGCGACGAATGTACCCGCATGTTTGAAAGGGCCAGACAAGCATTGTGAGCGATTTGTTTTCTAGCCTCTCAGTCATGAACCCCCTCACGCACAATATTTGTAGATATTCCGATAGGCGGGAGCAGTTATTTGGAAAATGCTCGATAGCAATTTGCATACACTGTTATCTTTACCAGAATCCTGTACTATGGTCATAGGTGGACTGCATATTTGCAATAATTTTTTTCTTACTTAAAAAGATGTCCTGCTAATAGTATGTATTATAGCCGAAGACAACAAGAGAATGGCTGGGCGTCCTCCAGCACGCGGTTGTACTTTTCACGCCACTTCGAATGGATGTGCTCACTTGAGGCTCATTAAATGCTGAAATATCATCAAAGGTAGCAAGCGGGCTGGTGGCACACAACTGAGACTTCTCCTTGCCCCTCTCGTTCTGTCAGTGAGCGTGTACTTCTATACTCTATCTCGGCTTAACCTGGACAGAGCTGAGGAGAACAGGCTTGGCGAGTGCACTTACTTCATATGCATTTGTACAGTTGAGGCACCTTCTAAATCAAGTGTGTTGTGAATATTGCCTTCAAAAACACATCATGTGGGAAGTGCGGTTTTTAGTGTTGCCTGGCACGGTTAAAAATTTGGTGATGTAGCGCTGCATTGAAAAGTCGGCGCATTCATGACAATATCGCCTAATGAATGCATGATAGCTATTAAACTCTCGATTCTGCAGAGAAATGAAATAATGCACTTTACTTTTAATGGCAGCTGTTTCTGGAACTTTATGGTACGAAGCACCTCATGGCTGCAAGCTCTTACCGGATCTTGTTCTTTGGTCTGTGAAGGCCCATTACAGGGTGTCACTCCGAGAGCCTCATCAACGTTTCCTGCCCGTGGTCGTCCTAAATTTTTCTGTTGTAGGTATGCATCCTTTCTGTTCTTCCCTTAATAATACTCAGGCGTTTTCTTTTTGTCTCAAAATTGTTGAAGCACACGAATAGGCACTGTAAAATTCTATCTCACATACTTTTGTCAAGATGACTTTTCTTTGCAAAAGTTGCAGATTTTTCAATGAAGGTTGGTCTTTCTTGTTTTTATTAAGAAATTTATTTGAGTCTCTACGGGCGACACTAAAACGTTATGCCAGTGGCAAGGACAAGTTCACTGCTCGAACTTGTCTTAACTGATTGCAATAAATTTGGTTGGGAAAAATGGATGCCGTGAAACCTCCTTCCAGCCCCTTGCTCTGCAGCACGAAAGAAAAACATATATAGGACGTACCCTGTTTCTTAGACTGCTTGCTTATTCTGCAGGTCTGCCTGCGATAGAGGCTGCGCTATTGGAAAGCAGGCAAATTCAATTTTTGGTTTTGTCGTTGCTTTTTTTAGCAGTTGTCTTAATAGTTCCCGCAAATTTAGAGATCTTCCTAAAAAGCAAGCCGGGAAGAATATTTAGTTTGATTAGGTAGCTGAAAATAATTATTGAGTACCCTCTAGTAAGTAAAATGGATACTGTGTGCCACTGTTAGTGCCAAGTCGAGATCGGCTATTTTTGGGGATTTTGCTCAGAGTAGCACCCATTTTTATCGGCTAGCCTCTTGGTGCGCCAAATAAAATCTTTCTATGCAGACACCTGACATCTGCTGGTTCAGTCTACATTCATGTTCGGTGAGTGTATGAACTGGAGTTGTATCCTCAGTCGGCACTCGTTGAGCATAAGAAAAAAAAAAAACCTTTCCATTGCAGTAGTAATTTTTTTTTTTATATTCTTTGCCGGTGAATGTGAATATTCGACAGAATTCTCTCAGGTTGGCGCGAAAGAGGCTTAAACGAACGCATTTAATCATTCGCCTTAATTATGTACCGATCATTTTAAGACTTACATACCCTTGTCCTCGGGGATGACTATGGCTGTGGCAGTAAAGTAGCAGTTTATTTTTAATAAGTATAAGTACAAAGTATAAAAATAAATCGATCTTTGTAGTGATCACGAAAGAAGATGCTAGCCATTGTAATGTATCGCTGCCAAGTACTCAAGGGTGATTTTTTTTTTATTTTTATCTACTTGGGTACCTCAAGATCTGGAGATCTTAGTGGCCACATGCTTGGACTCAATCTTCTTCTGTGGTCTGGCCAGGACCGCAGGGGAGGTAATCCCAGCAACAAGAGCATCGAAGTACCTACCTACCTGTGACTTTTGATTAGTGTCACAACAGTGGAGTCCTCCTGCCACCAGGTGTTAGGTATACCGCTCGAAATAAACATTCTTACTTATTCCTTAGGTGAAACGGCAAATGAACGACTACCCTAAAATGCTAAAGACATATTAAAACCAAGGGCTGGATAGAGTTCCAAATATAAAAGGAGTCTGCAGACGCGAATACGATGTGAACTTAAAGATTGCAGATGTAAGTTCGTCGGTGTCACAGAAATAACTTACCGCAGATGGCTTCGTTCGTGCTATACCCTAGCGAATTCTTATGACAATCATTGTGTTACGTAGGTGTCATCAATCTTATGTAACTATTGTGCCCAGCAGTCGGGAGACGTGAAATATTAAAACAAACAGGAACTTGCACATTGTCAACTCCGCAAATATTTATACATAGAGAAGAAAGCATAGCACGTTCAACTTAAAGGGGCGATGCAACTATTTTACCTTGGAAACATTTTCCAGTTTTAAAATTTTTTATTGCTTATCTTACCAAAGGGAGTGCAGAAACCGCCTCAATTTTTTTAAATATCGCAATTCCGTTTCGTAATTGCAAAAAAAAAAAAGAACGGGAATATTTTACGATTTGCAGCCGCGTGGTGGCGGCCACGAAAACTAAAGCGTGACGCGCAGTGGGTATGATGTTATATTGTGGGAAGATGTACGATTATGGGCTCACTCTGAAACCATATTTAATAAATGTTGTCGTCTCAAAATGAGTATATACGTGAAAAACCTCATGTCATCGACAAAGTTGTACTATATTCAGTTTTAGTGGCACCGTCTGCCCGAGGGGAAGGAAACTGTTCCTCCCTTGAGCCTCACCTCGTTGTGCTACTACGTCAGCCGAACTTTCTTACAAAAAAGCAAGCTCTTTGCCGCCCCCCTGTCCTTTTCTCCCTTTCTCCACAATGCTCAGACTAGAGTCACTGTATGGGTTCCCAGGGTAACGTGTTCCTTTTCTTTTTGCGTTTTGCCAACGACATACTTACTCTAGCCCATCATGTTTTGGCTTGGTGAGCATCACTGGACGGTAGCGATCACGTGACACAAGCACCGCTAGACTCACCCCCATGAGCGCTTCAAGCGGCTCTAATAGCCACCATCTTGGGTCCAGCGAACAACTGCGCACACGCACGCTCTGCTGCTCATCGAACGCGCCCGTTTACGCGCCGTCTTTTTGTCTTTTCCTAGCAGTTACCGACGTAAAAGCAAGGAGGTTGTGTGTGTGGTTGTGTACTTAGTGGGCACAATGCCTGCTTGTTGCGCTTTTGGGTGCAGCAGCAGGTTGGAAAATGAAAAGAGGGTCTTTCGGATTCCATGTGAAAAAAGACGCCACTGCGAGACGGAGGAAGACGGCTTTTCTGGTCATAGCAAAACGCAAAGATTTCGAGCCCACTGCAACAAGCAAGCATTGTGAGGTCAGCGCCGACAACAGCGAGTTCATTTCGCGTATCGCTCGTTGCCTTGGAGTCGGACAGGCGTCAACTGTGTTCGGTTTCGCGCGAGCGACGCCCTTGCGGTTTAGTAAGCGACGGGCTAAGATTAAGCCGCTGTTGGGTCAGATCTCTCGCTGTCGCATATGCGTCGCTCAATTTCAGATGTGTAGCAAACAAAAATCCATCGAAGGTCGCGTGCGTGCGGTTGCCTCTGGGAGTGACGTACCTCGCAAAAGCGGGTCCTTATGATTCTGGGAAAATCACTTTCATGCCGTTTATATTCTTGCAACTTTCGTAGTTTCGTGAAATGGTTCTGAATAGCGTTTAGATCGCAGTGTTTTTCTCTCAGATTGCCTCTACATGCTTATTTTTTTTTATTACAATGACTTCCAGGGTCACTTCGAAGACTCTCAATTTGAAATGCGCAGAGCCGATGGCAGAAAACTCCTCACACAGAGCGCTGTCCTACGATTCTTGGCGCTGGACTTGTCATCGCAACCGCAACCAAGGAAGAAAGGGCAAGGAAGCCGCCAACGGATCGATGTTCGGTAATTCGTTCAAGTAAGTCTATGATTTCTTAAGTATTGTTTGGGAAAGTGACTTTGTGGGAAAAATTAACCTGTGTTTTTTTTATTTTCTCGTACAGTTTCTGAAGTCGTGGGATTATGTTCTCTGCTGGACGCGCGCTTGACAAGGATACTGAGGAATTATATGTTAGTTCTGGGAAATATTGTTTCGTCATTTA